TTTATTTTATAATCATTCACTTGACGTTCAAGCTTATTAATTACAAAAAAAACGAATAAGATAATTAATAAAATAAAAAAGATTTGTATTTTTTTTTACTTCAACCATTTTATTCTTAAGTCCAGGAATATCATCTTTTGTTTTTCCTGTTTGTTGAGTTAAATTAGAAGATGAACTCATGATTTCTTGAAATATTCTTCTTATTAGTTTTTACAAGGGAACATTAAAGATTTATTTATTTACATAAAAGTTTTTTTCAATCAATAGAAAAGAATAAAATCAATTCGATAGAGGTCGAACATATCTACATATTTTATTTCAATACTTTATTATTTCAATAAACTATCTTTTTCAAATCAAGAGTTTTTAAAACTAAATCTAAGAGACTCTAGTTATTGAATATATCTTTCTTGTTTAGCTATAGACTTTTATATTCGGAAATAAAAATCTATACATATATATATGTTTAATGTCATGAAAGAAAAATGATTATTTAAATTAGAATATTTGATTTTATTTATCAATGATTATGTTCAAATGAAAAATCTTATTAGATATATCTTGAGTAGTCATGGGTCAAATGTGAAAAATATTTTTTTATGTTGGTTTTATCAAGAATATTCATAATAAAAGATCTGATCCGCGGTAGTACAGTGGCCAGTATGCCCGCCTTATTGATCGCGGGAGACCGGGGTTCGATTCCTCGCTGCGGAGTATTTTTTACTTTTTATAGAGTATATTTAAATAAATATATTCCGTCTTTTTTATTTCAAATCAAGAATTTTCAAAAACGAATCTGAGAAATCCTATTTGTTAGATACATCATTATTGTATAGTTATTAACTTATTCGGTATTAGAAAATAAAAATCTATATACGTATGTTTAATGTCATAAAAGGAAAATAATCATTTAAATTAAAATTTTATTCGAAATATCTTGAGTAGTCTTGAGTCAAATATGAAAAATATTTTTTTATGTTGTATTTATCAAGAGTATTCATAATAAAAGATCTGATCCGCGGTAGTATAGTGGCCAGTATGCCCGCCTATTGAATCAGCGGGAGACCGGGGTTCGATTCCTCGCTGCGGAGTATTTTTTATTTTCATAAGTATACTTAAGTAAATATATTCCGTTTTTTATTTAAAATCCTCTCAAATAATTTATGTTGCTTCTAGAGCTATCTGAAATCAAGAATATTCAAAACTGAATCTGAGAGACTCTAGTTGCTAGACACTTCGTTATTTTATATTTATAGATTTATTCTATTTAAAAATAAAAATCTATATTCATGGTTAATGTCATAAAAGAAAAATAATCATTTAAATTAAAATATTTGATTTTCTTTATCAATGATTATGTTCAAGTGAAAAATATTTTTTATGTTGCATTAATCAAGAACATTCATAATAAATAATCTTATCCGCGGTAGTATAGTGGCCAGTATGCCCGCCTCATCAATTAGCGAGAGACCGGGGTTCGATTCCTCGCTGCGGAGTATTTTTTTAAATACAGTATATTTTGATATATGATTGGCATAAGTATTCAGTTTTTTTATTAAAAAATTAAAAACAAATATATATATATGAACTTTTTAGAATGAGAACTATATACTATGGAAGAATAGAAGAACGAGAAGGAAAAAAAAGAATACTCCGTGGCGGGGAATCGAACCCCGGTTTCCCGCGTGACAGGCGGGGATACTCACCACTATACTACCACGGACATAAATCATTGTTTGAAACTATTACCTTTATCTTATCCTTGGCGGTTTTCGAAAATAATAATGAAGTAAATAATGGATCTCTGTAGAACTAATTATAAGAATTATTCGTGTCATGAAAAAAATAAAGATAGCTTATGGATTTTTTTAAAGATTCTACTGTTAGAGTATCTTTAACCATATTCGTTTATCGAAGTTTGCTTCTTTTTTATATTTCTTATAAGATGCAACAAATACTCTTCATTTTCCTAATCGTTATATAAATTCTTGAGAATATTCATCGAATGATAAGGTTTATTCTATAAAAATATTATTTAATTAAAGTTCTATCGATAGAAGATAGAGAAATGAACTACAATATTATCTCTCTTTCTATTTTATTTTGATCAGTTTGCAAAATAAAAAGGCCAAACTCTATATAAACTCATGTATTTCAATAATTCTTATTAATTTTATTTCCATAATCTGAGTTATTTTTTAAATTAAGTTATCCAGATGGAAATATAAAGATTATTGATAAGACTAAAACTTCGTTTTGTCTTCGTTTCTTATAGGATAAATGTTTATTGGAACATAATGATATTACTCGTTGTAGATTTCTTCTATATTTTATATAAAAAATTAAAAGAGTAAATAATTTTACTTCTAAAATAAATTTTATTAAAACAAAAACAAAAATGTTCTTCTTTTTTTACAAAATAAAATAATGTTTTGTAATAATTTCAATATCCACCATAATAAAGTCCTCGTCCCCGACCAGAATAACTATGTCTACCAGTAAGACTACCGTCTTCTGTCCATGGTACAGTATAATTCATAGCTTCTCTTCGTATAAATAAGTTGTCACTTTGTCGCATTTGTCGAAGAAGATTTTTATATTCTTCTCGATCAATATTCAATTCATAAAAAACTTGTTTTACAAGAAAATTAAAAACAAATAATATTCGTTTTTTTTCTTTGATAAACCATTGAGCTAATTCAAGTTTTTCATTACCATTTAATTCTTTAATAAAACAACAAGATTGACTATTAACAATGAAAGTTGATAATTCTGTTAATATTCTTTCAAAATAATCTTTCGGTAAATTTTCTTCTAAATTTTTTAATATATCTTCAAGATCTTCTTTACTTTCAGCTATTTCAATTAATATTATTGACAAATCATAAGCTAATGTTTTATCAAATTGAAGAATAATTGATGTTATTGAATGAAAAGCAGTTTTTTTCTCCTTATCAAATGTTATCACATGAGAATTAAGATTTTTTAAAACATCTTGAATACGATGATAAACTGGTAAATCATGTTGACTATCATTTCCATTTTCATTTTCATTGACATCGATTTCTTCTCGACGTAACATCATTTTTTTAATAATATCAATAATAATATCAAATGAAGATCTATTTAGAAAAATAAATCTTATATTTATAAACTATTTTTAATTTTTAATTTACGTTTTTTCTTGTTTATAAATTGAAAGAATTTTTTCAAAAGCTTTTTCCCATAAAGTATTTCCATCTTTATCAAATTGAACACATATTTCTTGACCTTTTTCAATTAACTTATTTTTATCACAATGTTCATAATCAATATTTGACCAAGCCAATAAACGTGCTTCTAATGATGTTGGATGATCTAAGACTTTCAATTGTATTCGATTAATAAATGTTTCAAAGACATTTTCAGATGAATGTTTTAGTTTTGTTAATGGCCAAGAAGATTTTCCTCGAGCAGATTTTCGTCGCCGAAAGGATTTTCTTCGTTGATCAGCAAATAAAATTTTTATAACGGGAAGATAATCGTCTTCTGCTGCTTCTTCGAGAATCTCCCAAATAATATTTTCATCTTCTTCTGAAGACGTTTTACCAATAAAATGAAGTAAAGTTAAGATAAGACTTGCTCGAACATCTTGATGTGGATGTTTATTCCATATTGGCTTAATAATTAACTTTATTAAATTTGTATTTGATACATATTCAACTAATAAACGAAGAAGTTCTTTATTTGCTGTTGTACCTTAAATATAAAATATGAATAAATAAATTGAATGTTTTATTTTTTATTCTTTACCAAGTTTTTGAAATTGTTCATTTTGTATAAAATCAAGATATTTTTCTAGAAATATTTCATCGGATATTTTTCTTGAAATACTTAACATAGCATCACTAATATATTTTGCATTTGATGCGTTTAGTTTCGTTGTTAAAAACTCCAAATGTTTAATTAATGATTGTGGAGTTAAATTAAATGTAGATGGTAAACATATAAGGATATCATCAAGTGGTTCAGTAGGAGCACCACGATTGCGAACAGTTTTCTTTGTGGAATTACCAATTGGTAATGGTGAATCTTGTTTTTTATAGATCCATTCGAGAGTTATATTATATGTATGTGTTAGACGACGAAGAATACGAAATGTTGCTAATTTCACATGATTGCTAATTTCTTTATCCTAAAGAAAAAAACAAAATTTCAAAATTTTTCAATATTTTTGTAGAAAATGTTT